AAATAAATAAATAAATAAAATGTCGGGCGCCTGGGTGGCTCTGTCCTTAAGCGTCTGCCTTCTGCTCGGGTCATGATCCCAGAGTCCTGGGATGGAGTCCCACATCAGGCTCCCTGCTCAGCAGGGAGTCTGCTTCTCCCTCTTCCCTTCATCCTGCTTGTACTCTCTCTCGCTTGCTCTCTCTCTTTCAAATAAATAAATAAAATATTTAAAAAAAAATAAAATCTCAAAAGCCCTCAATGGTTAATTAAATTTTTCCTCATGCCATCCCAAAGAAGTAGGCCGGTTTTATTATTCTTGTTTTTGAACCTGGAAAACTGAATCATAATGTCTATATAAGTAACTTTATTCACTTTAACTTTATTGCACTTAAAAATGTTCTTGTTTCTCCAAAATGAAAAATAAAATGGTACATGGGGGCAAGTTCTGGCTCAATAGGATTTAAAAAATAGAGCATACAGTGTGTTTGTAGATGATCTTGTCTTTATTGATTTTATACATTTTTATTTTGAGCTGGTTTTGCTTAGTTCTGGGTCTTTGTCTTAAAAATGGCCCTTGATGTTGAACACTTGTCAGTTGCCAATCATGTGAGGAATGTTAGTGTAGATGGTGGTCTCTGGACACATTGTATCTGCATCTCTGTAATCTCTACATCCTTCATAGCACTTTCCTTCCAAAGCAATATTAGGATGCCATATTTTAAAAAGTCATTTTTCTTTCCTTCAGTTAGCTATCAAATACGGTATCTTTGGCTGTAAGTAAGAAAATCCCAACCCAAGTCAATGTCACTTGAACAATAGGTGATTTCTTTTCTTATTTCCCATAAAGTGCAGAAGTAGAGAAGTCTAAGCACAGTGAAGTCTGGTTTTCTGCATTCTCTTGCCCTGCCTTCCTGCAAGGTAGATGACTTCCTACAGCAGTTCCCACCATAAAACTCAGGGGCAGAAAAGGACCTTTTCTTCCTTGTAAGCTAGAAAACCTTTGCCTTAGAAGACTTCTTCTCACATTTCATTGGCCAGAATTGAGTCTTTTGTCTGTGCTTATTCCAAACATTGGCCAGAAGAACAGGAAGCTTGTGAATGGATGTTTGTAAAGGGCTTAAAATCAATCAAGATTCTCTCTCAGGGCTGGGAATGGTGCTCACCTTCCCTGGAGTGGAGGTCCTATGAAGGAAGGTAGATCTTGAATAAAATTAGAATTCTGATGGGCAGAAGCAGGAGTAGGGGCAATGTTTGTTACAATTACCTTTCCCTTACACTTCTTATGATGAATATAATTATTTAAAAGCTAGCATATGGAGTGGTTGAGCCATTATGTTTTACTTTTAACAGGCTGTTTTATCTTGATCATATGATTTCAAAACTTCCACTAGGAATTATATTGCCTCTTAAAACTGTGTAGATAGATGTAGGGACAAAGGATGGTTTAGGAGTCTTGCCATTATCCCAGCTACTCCACTTCTAAAAAATACACATCCTAAGTAAAAAATTGAGCTTTCTATGACAACTATTCCTCCTCAAAAAAATCTAAGAAAAAACAGTGTACTTTCTATGTCAACAGCAATTGCAGCTTCCAGATAAATCACTTAACCTCCTCTTCTGGCCAGATTTATGCCCCTAAACCATTCTATAAGAAATTCTGGGGTTGTCAATTTTAGAACCCTACCACATTTTCACTTTCTTGTCACTTCTCTGTGGCTTTGGATGCTGATGCAAGTTCTGGCTTTTCCCTACAGGCAATTTTGTTGTTGATTCTTTAATTCAGTGGATTTTGGCCATACTTCTACACTTGATCTTAGCCAAAAGGCTGAAAAGTGATGGCCATACTTCTGAGAGCCTACCTTATTCTAGCCGTCAGCTCCCACCTAAGTAGGCAGACTGGGCAGAGCCTAGGGAACCTGGAGGTGAGAACTGCTAAGTGAGAATGGATCTCCTGGAAAGACAATGTACTTACCCAAACAAAATCCAAGGGGAAGATTCTGTTGGTCAGAAATAAGTCTAAGGCTAGGAAGGCCCCTGTAAACCAGGCTGAAAATCAAAGATAGATTTATATTTGGATAATGGGAGTGGGGTGGTGTGGTAGTTGGGTGGGGAGACAGTTTCAGGAACCAGGCTGATTAGATTCAGTGTTTGGGTCTGATTTGGAAAGATCACATTAAAAAGTAGAGTCAAGTTGTATTTCCTAGAGGGTCAGACCCAATGCAGCCAAACAAGCCGATTACATCAGAACTATCTTTTATTCATATTAATCCACCAGTGGTTCATTGGAATCCTGCTTCTTACTGGAGAGAAGCACTAGGTGTCTCCTGCCACTGTTACAGTAGAAGAGTTAAAAGAGTTTTTCTTTAGGCCAGATTCACTATGGCCAGTTGCCAATCTCGAGCTCACTGTTAGATGTATCAGGCAACTTCAGAAGGTACTACCTTTTTGCTGGAAATCTCCCTTTGCTCTGAGAAAATTATAAAACAACTTTCAGCCATTTGTGAACACAATGTTTAGTTTCATAGACTTGTCTCTGCTGTTAAAGTACTTGTCACCCTTAGGTACCTTGTTTGCCACAGTTGCCTGCCTCTCTGCCTCTCCCCCACCACAAATGTATATTGAGGTCATGGAGCCAGAACCTAAAGGAAGTGACTTAAGGATGACTAAGAAGAAAATTGGTGGCTAAGTTAATTGTGAGTCAGTTTAGGATTTTTGGAATGATTCAAACAGGTAGAATTAGGGAGACAATCAGCCTTAGTGTAGTTAGATTCTCACAGCTGTTGTCCTCCTTTTCTGAATTACCTATTTTGTCTCATCCTGGGATATCATGATAAAATTATATCATGCGACTTCATTATGGGGTGGGGATGGTAGGTGGAGACTGAATGGTAGATATCTCACACTTCTGCAGTCTGGAATTTCCTGAAGTGTTAGAAGTGCCCAATAAACCTGGAAACTGTAAAATCTTGGTGTGCTATTATAAAGATGAAAATTATGAAACATTTTAAATTAGAAAATTTGGGTGGGCAAAAAGAATAGAAATTGCACAGACCTGCCAAAGATTTTTTTCTCTAAAGATAATTTAAAAGTTGCAAAAGTTTAGGATAATTTTAAAGCCTTCTTTAAATTTTTAAAAATTTTGGAGTCACTTTTCAAATTCAGAAAGTAGGTACGTGATCAGAAGAGTTTTCAATAGCTGTATAATTTAGCTACTTCTGTCATTGGAATCACCAGCAAAGCAATTAAATTAAGCAGGAAATTTGGAAGGTAAAAGCTAACCTTAGGGGTGCCTGGGTGGCTCAGTTTGTTAAGCGACTGCCTTTGGCTCAGGTCATGATCCCAGGGTCCTGAGATCAAGCCCCACATCGGGCTGCCTGCTCAGCAGGGAGCCTGCTTCTCCCTCTCCCTCTTCCTGCTGCTCCCCCTGCTTGTTCTCTCTCTATCTCTCTGTCAAATAAATAAATAAAATCTTTTTAAAAATTAAGAAATAAAATAAAAGCTAACCCTAGTTATTTTATATAGCTTAGCTATTTTACATAGGTTTTTCTGTACAATGAAAAGACATTTGATTAGGAAAGATAAATGTCCAGATTGGAATTTAGAAATGCAGATTCATTAAATTTGATTTTATTTTAGAGGCTAAGTAGGAAAGGGCTACTTTGTTATTGTGAAGAGGCTATTATGTTTAAATATTCCTCTTAGATTTTTACTATCCAGAAGATATATATATATATATATATACTGGTGGGAGCTTTCTCCCTCACAAAGAGCATCCTAATGGAGATGTATGACTGTGCCATTACTATTGCTGACGTGAATATTTGCCTCAAAATTTAAGCCTGTGGCTCTAGAAGCTGCTATAAATACTCTAAAATAATAATATTGTGAGTATTTATATATCATTTTAAGGTATTTTTTTTGTTTTTATTCTATGTATACTAGAAAAATGACTTACAGTTTGCATAATTGTGGTAATTGGCTAAAGCTGTTGAAATGTGAGGTTTCTAAAGTCAGTAAGAAGAGCAAAATGGATGTGATCATTTGTGGCATTCTTGGTTTGAAATAGTTTTGATGTTATATTATCATTTCACATGTTTAAGTGGTTTTAATGTTGTCACTATAATGGCACCTAATTAATACATTCACACAATATGTAAAAATGCACTCAGTGCCACAAATTCTCCTGCTGCTACATTTATTTATAGCAATGTACACTGCTTAATGTGTGCTTTTATTTGAAAAGCATTTTTGTACATGTTTGCCATTTGCACTTTCTCTTTGAGTGTAGCTGACATTTTGCACCACCATTCAGTATGAGAGATCATCAAAGCAATTAGCTTAGAAGTACTCCATTTACCAAAGGATTAAAACTATTTTTGAAAATTATGGGTAAGATGGCTTAGAGATTATCTTAGGTCAGGTTCTGTAGAAGCAAAGCTGAGACAGGAATTGTAAGAACAAGTGATTTGTTGGGCAATGCTCTCAGGAGAAGGATGTTAAGGGAAGAAAGAAAGATGAGGGGAAAATGGCTCTGCATGGAGGTGATCTCAGTGGATATGGGTTGCCGTTTGCCCCCACAGTGAAACTCTAGAGCATGAATGGTATCGCAGAGTTGGTTCCGTCGTGAGGCAAGTGGGTTGGCCTTCTGTTCCCCCATGTCAGCCAAACTGGTTGCAGCTGCCCTCAAAAACGGGTAGGAGAGAAGCCTCCTGGGTGAGGCAGTTCCCATTTGGTCCGGGGCAATTCTCCAGAGAAGGGAGGTGCATCTGTGGTATTATCAGCATCTTGGTGATGGGACTTCTAGCTAATAAGGGAGATCTGGCATGGTACCAACAGCATCCACTGAATAGATGAATGGCAACTTAAAAAAACGGACAATTTACTGGACCTCAATTCTGTTACTTTCCCCTCCTCAGCACACACCCGGCCACATATATCCACATTTGTAATCAAATAAAGGTGGAAAGTCAAACCATGTTCAAGTCCCTTTGATTAGAGAAACAGTTTAAAAGCATAAATGAAGACATGGACCTCAGGTCTATTCTTTTTTGTTACTTGTGGTGTAGTAATAGAGAATTTAAGTGGCTAACTCTGCTATTAAAATGCATTTTTGTTATCGTGAACAAAAATGAGTTCGAGAGAGGACATTAGGTATTATACATGAAGACTTGAGGGTATTTTTAATGCCAAGTACACTCAGGCAAGTGTTTCCACAGGCTTAATACCCCTATATGAAATACTTTGTTTGCAGAAGCCTTTGACTGTCTATACATTCATAACTGATTCAGACAGAAGCAATATACTCATTGTGTTCAATGAATGAATTCATCTCAAATTATTTCTCTGCAATAGATTATTATGTCATACAGAAGAACTGTGGAGTATGCTTCTTCCTGGTAGAACACCTTCAACCCTCTTTTTCTTCCCATTACAAAGCTGTTAGTGAAGATTATCTTCTTTGAAAGATAATTTTTTCTTTCTTGCTACTTACCAGAATAATGAAATGCTTTACAAAAACTAGGTAACCTTGTATGAGGACAGTGGAATTCCCATTAGTATAACTGATTTAGAGAGGCTTTTATTCTATTTTAAATTGTCAAATATTTTTCAAGGGCATAGAAGACATATTATGAAAAATTCTTTGAATTGCACAATTAACTTTAAAGTAAAAGATCATTGATATAGTAGAAATAAACAATAGCAACTCTCCATCTTGGATCAAAAAAATACTTGTTGCTAATAATATTCGCTCTGATTGCATCTGTATTTGATTATTCCAATTTATTAAACAAGAATAACAATATGCAGATAAACCCAGAATAATAAAGAGACATTAATTCAGTTTAGAGTTCAAGCTGATATTGCAACTTTCCACTCTGCATAGGGCTTTGCTAATACCTTACGTAGAACACAAACTAGGCCAGTGCCTAGGAGTGTCCTGAAATGAAAAAGACATTTTGGAGCAGGGTGGACATGTTATTAGGTAGGGCCTTGAAGAGAGCTCCTATTTACAAATGATTTCTTCAGTGATCTGAAATTTAATGCCATTGATAATCTTCTCACTAACATTATCTAGTCTAAATCCCACAAAGCGAGAAGTTGAGAGGGTAAAGTAAATGATAATTTTAGACTTGTTTTAAAGTGAAACCTTAAGTAAGTGCTTTCCTCAGGCCTTAATTTCCTCTGTGTAATTGTTCATTTAACTGTCTACATTTGTGTTTTCCTCCAGGAATAAAAATTCCTTTTTAGTCTGTATGTCTTAATGATTTATTTCCCAGTGTTTGTTTATTTCACTCATTGGTCATGATTTTTTAAATATTCTTATAGAGAAGATAGAATAAATATTTTAAAAATATTATGTCACTTGGCAAACTTTTTGAAATTATGCCTGGAACTCCTGGCAAGACCAATAAAGGATTGAAGAACCCATTGTATTAGAATTTAGAACCTTTTCTATAGCAGACATATAATTTGGCTAATGTATTTTAAAAAACCAACCCCAGACTTCATTTTATGTAATCAGTACCATTTGCTAATAGCTTGAGCAGTTTGAGTTCCCTCAAACTCCCTGATTGCTTAACAATGTGTTGTGACATTTTTATTGCTTCCAGAAACTTCCAGTTAAGTGAAGAAGACCGCTGGATTTACCAGGCTGTTTTGGATCAGTATCCTGGAGATCTCTGTGGCAGAAGAACTCTGTATCTGAACATGTTACAAAGATATTTTCCTCACAAATCCAGGCATGATTTGGTGAGTGCTGGACCCTATATAACAGCACGTTAAATTGCTTTAGTGGTCAATAATTACTAGGCAAAATTTATATTTTTAGGATGGTGCTCTAAAAATTATTTTTTTCCTATACTCTAGCAAATAATAGGATCATAGGTTGAAAGTCTCTCATTTTTCAAGTCTTATGGTCCATAAGAAGGTGGAGAACCACTCAAGCAATATTTATTCTTCTATGCTTACTTGCCCCAGAGATCTTTACTGTGACTTCCTGGGTTGCTCTGCCAGTATTTGACCTCTGGGTGTTTGGGCATTCACCTGCCCGCCCTCAGAGGTTCTGCAATCTCTAGCTCTTGCCTGAAAGTGGGGTGCCTGTTCATCTATCTGCAGAGCCTGCCACACCCAGCCCTTCTAGTCATGGGGAAGCCAGCACTTGCCTTGGGGGCTGGTGCCTACCTATGTCATCCCCACAACAACTCCACTTGATCCCCCTAGATGGGTATGAAATACAAATGCCCCAAATTAGAACTCAGAGTCATGACTGAAATTTCCCTGAGAAGGACCTGGGAAACTATTGTTTCACTCTTTAGTTCGTAAGGCCACAAAGACAAGAAAACAGAATTTCTGTTACCATGTCACCAATTAACTTTACAATAACTCACCTTAAAACATATATGTAAACAAACACATGTGAACTCTTAACTTTAAATGGGCCAGGCTATAAAATATCATCACATACTCTGCATTTTTGTAATTATTTTAAATTAAGCAAGTAACAACAATACCAACATGTGTATAGAATTTACCTTATGTCAGTCATATGTAAACTCCTATAACATGCATAACAGTGGATGAAAGAGTACTATTTTTATTCTGTTTTACAGATAAAGAAACTGAAGCAAAGGTCACACATCTAGTATGACCATCCTCTCTTATGCCCCAGTCCCCCACCCAACAATTACTTGTTTTAATTTGATCTTTATTTTATAGCAGATACCTGTTATGTAAAAAACATGCTATATAATAAATAATTTGCTCTAGATTTTTTTAAGTTTTAATTTATTAAGTTAGATCTTTCTTTTTATTCCCTGTTGATTCTCTGTGTTTCTGTGACCAGCTATCAATTTTAATTTTGTAATTTTTTGTATTTACCTATTAACGTGATAAAGATTTTTATACTCACTTCTTATGTTGGGTTAATTAGTATGCATTTCTGCATGGCGTATGCTTCCTTTCTTAGTGTTTGACAGATTCTAAGTATATTTTTGGCTTTTGGGAACAAAGCTCAGAAGTTTCCAGAACATATTTTAGTAGCTGATATTTGGTTTCATTGAATCCATAGCCTGTTTCATCATGTAACTAATTAACCATACCTAGACTATTATTTTAGGACAACCTTATCCTCCTTGCTAGATTCTTTTCTTACACCACTTAGGGGTTAAATAATGTATCAGATTCAGAGATGTGGTCTATACTGGCAAGATAAAGAATTATGTAGGTCACTGGCTCTCAATTTCAGGAGACACAACTTTATATAAGGAGCATTTCAGAATCACCTACAAAGATTTTTCAAACGACTCAGGCAATCTCCATTCCTGTTCTTCCCCTCAAGACTCTGAGATCTCTTGTGGTTGGGATTCACTGCCAACAGGAATTACCAGTACCCATGTGAGAATGTCATGTCCATCAGGACAATAGGATGGGAAGAACTAATATCACCGCTGTAATTCCTTCAAGTTTAGACATCCTAAAACCTGAATATTTCAGTAACCAAGGACAAACTGAGTTTTGGGGATTATGATAGTGATTTATGTTTATTAGCATGTATCTAAGTGAAGCACTTGAAGTAATTGTTAAAATACCCAAACTAATTAAAAGATGGAGTATCTTTGAAATTATATACAGGGGTAGTAATTCTTTCTGTGAATAGATTCACTGCCATGTAGACATGGAAAATGTTTTAGGGCCACCTAATCAGACTCCATCCCTTACGAGGAAACTAAGGACTTAGAAATATTAAACAACTGGTCCTTAGTCACTGGTTAGCCACAGGCTCAGAACTCTGGGACTGGCACCTGGTCCTGGTTGCTGCATTCACTATTAAGCTGTTTGTCCCCAATTTTTCAAAATTATTGGTTATAATTCATTTTATTCATTTTTGTAACAATGACATAAAGTATAGGCTCAGTTTCATAGTAAGTGTTTGCCATCTGTTATCTTTTCAGGTGGAACATGAGAAATATTGTGATCAATATCACTTTGCCAGGGAGCAGCGAAGGATCCTGATATCAAATTGGAATGAGAACAGGAGAGACTTTATCCAGAAGGCTGTGCTGACCCTTGCCGAGGCCTGTGCAGCACACGCAATGGAGGACACATTGGCTAAGGACAGGAGAAAGCAACAGGAACTGTGTGCTCATCTGAAAGCCAAGGTGAGATGCTCTGCTGACGGTGTTTCAGGATTTTCCCTGTCATTCATTTAAGAACTCAAACCCAACCTAAAGTTCAGTTTCTCTAAAAATTTTATTTTGGATAAAATTGTTAGTTTGAACCATATGAGATCGCAATTGTTTTAGATCAACAGTAGTCAACAATCAACAATTTCATATGGTTCAAGTTTATGTCTGTTTAAGACAGGTCAGTGTTTAAGTCTGGATTGAGCGGTATCCAACACGAACTACAAATACCGCACACCAGAGAGAGGTGCCAGATGAAAATGCAGAATGTAATGATAGAGTAAAATCTGATTCTGGCTCAAACACTCTTGGACCTCTCATTCACATTAAAGATGTAAAAAAAGGTAAAATTGTGAAGAGGAGAGAGGATTTGTGAAGAGACACGTTGGGGAGAGCTTGATGGGCAAAGTGAAAGGTGGAGTGGATGGTGTGTTCCTCTTCCTCAGACCCAGTGAAGGGGCCCCCATAACCTCGGAGCGGTTAGTGGGGAACCCCTGCAGTTGGAGCTTGAGGATTGGTGTCTGATGGTCACAGGGAACTAGAGGAGCTGCCTCCATGGCAGAATTGAAAACAGAGATGGCTGCTGTGTTGGGAATAATTGCATTCCCCAGACTGGTCACTGGTGCATGAGTCCTGGAGGCCCCATGTGGATATAGCCTCCCTTGGAGTGTTGGCTGGACCATTAAACAAACTGTATTGAGTACAGCATAACTACAGTAAAGTATACAAACGTTATTTATTTTTATTATTTTTTTAAAGATTTTATTTATTTATTTGACAGAAAGAGAGAGAGTCAGAGCACAAGCAGGGAGAGCGGCAGGCAGAGGGAGAAGCAGGCTCCCCGCTGAGCAGGGAGCCTGATTCGGGGCTCGATCCCAGGACCCTGAGATCTTGACCTGAGCTGAAGGCAGATGCTTAACTGACTGAGCCACCCAGGCGCCCCCACAAATCTTTACTTATTGATAAATGACATGGTAGGAGAATGATGGCACAACAAGAAGTTTTATTCTATGGGTAGAAAAAATAATAATCTGCAATTAATAGTTATACCACAGCAATTAACAGCATGTAAAAAGAAATGTCTCTTTTAAAACATTAGAGGAAAAATGCCTGCTCTGTATATTTTTAAACAAAAAGATATTATATTGGGCATTGCATAAGCTTGGGACCTAGAAGGAATAGAAGCTACATCAAGCCTGAACTACCTATGGTGGGCTACAGAGCTAATGCACATTTCATGAATTTCAAGCAGACTCCTCCCACTGAGTACGGAGCCTGGATGGGGTGAGGGGCTCCAACTCACGACCTTGAGATCACGACCTGAGCCAAAACCAAGAGCTGGCCACTCATGTAGGGCTTTTTTTCTTATTTCTTAGACCTGTGTAACATAAGAATATTCCTCTGCTCACCTCCCCTGACCCTGATCTTTTTTATGAGCTTTCTGTGGAGAAAAGCCTGTAAGGGGGTATAAATTCCCCTCTGTCTGTAACTTTCACGGGTTCTATACTCTCTGCTCTATGACAACAGCAAATTATAAAAATTTAACTATTGACTTATTACAGAGTATTAGCTACAATCTTCTTACCCACTTACATGGTGGCCTTGTCTTTTCCAGGTGCTCTGTCTCAAGTAAGCTAGTTCCTGTATTGCCTCTCTCCTTGGAAACATCTGCCTTTCTTTAAATCTCAGGCTTATTTGCCCTGTGGCCTCAGTCCTCTGATGGGTTCGAGAAAAGTTCTGATATAGCTTTTCCTTGTGCTTAAATTGGGAGGCAACATTCTTTCCAGCTTCTTACATTCTAAATGGAACCTGGAAGGTCCTCATGAAATACTATTTATCAATCTTGTATGTGCCCTGCTTAAGAAATCATTGCCTAGTAGCACAGGGTCATATTCAAAGGCAGCCTGTCTGAGCTTTTTCTTCCCAATAGGACTCCTGCTAATGGGGAGGGGACCCCCCAAAAGTGGGGTGGAATAGCACTAATTGGGAACCTGATAGGTGGAAGAGAAGCAGTTAGACAAAGGAAAATGTAAATGACCCACATCAGGGGAATGTTTCCAGGAATGTTTCCCAGCTGGCAATCAAGGCAACAAAACTGGTAGGAGGGCAAGAATCAGCATTAACCACCTGCAAGGTTTACTTGGGGACAGCGTCAGTCATCAGGCTAATGACAACTCTGCTGGCCTCTCCTATACATCTTGTCCCCTTTTCCCTCCTACCCATGGACTCTGATGGTCTAAGCATCTAGGGAATGAAAGGAGAGGTCATCATCTGAATAAAGGAAGAGTTGATTAATCTCTTGGAACTGGGCAATTTGATTTTGAATCAAGACTGTATTTTGTGACTTAAAGTGACTGTAGGACCCTGTGAAACCCAAGGGTGAGCCATGGGTTCTGCTTAGTTTTCATCTAGTGGCAGGAGAAATATCTAAATGGGGGACAAGAATAATGCTGTGTTTTGATTATTTGCCATGTATCATGCTGTTCAGTGTATTGGGTATACTCTATGAAGTGTTCCCACATCTCAGGCATTCTAACAGATACTCTATAGGCATTTTATCATATTATCCTCAGTGACAAACCTGAGATGTGCAGGGGTTGCTGCAGAGTACCCACCCGCGGAAATCAGGGACTTGGTTTCTGAAAGCAATATAATATGGCATCTCCTCAGAGACCCATGGTCACAAGATGGTGAACAAATATCTCTGAACTTTTGGAGATGAAGCCTCCAAAGGGTAAATATGAAACAGAGAGTGGTGGAACATAAAGTAAATTGTGATGCAAAATGGATTCTATTTCCCATAGAGATGGTGTTATCATTGGAGTTTGTGTTCCTGATCAAGGACTGAGGCTCAATAAATTATAGCTAGCAACAAAAGTATATCATAAAGGAAAAGGAGTAATCCTATCAATTCTATAGGAATTTAAAATATTAAATTATGCTCAATTTTTTTACCTGGAAGGAAACTTGGAGATTTATCCCCATCCTTCATTTTACGAGTCTAAAAGCTGAAGTCCTGAAAGATAAAGTGACTTCCCTAAGGTTCATGCCAGCTCATTTGATTTGAAATTCAATATTATCTCAGGCCTACACAGCTTTGCATACAAGAATCTTACAAAATAATAGAAGATATTTATTATACTGTGAGCCCCAGTGCACTATAAAACAGACCCACAGAATGTGAAAAATATTACTTCATTGTATCATAAATTTGACCTTTCTAAAACTAACATCCTAGCTATAATAAACATTAATTAAACGTTTAACCATAATTTTGTTCTTAGTCTTGGAATTTAAGAAGGCTTTTGGGGGATGATTTACATGATTCATGCCTTTTAAGAAAAGTGTTAAAGGAATTTTGAAATAATGAGTTTCCTCACTCTCTTTCTCTCCTTCTCTATTTAATTTTGGTTTTCTATCAGTAATGCATGCTGTAGCAAGTAGAGGACTCTCACCAGAGTGGAGAGAGGAAAGCAGGGAAGTAGAACTCTTATTCTGCTACCACAAAGCTCGCTCTTTGATCCCCGAAAATCTCTTGGACTACCAGACCTTCCCAAGCATCCAGCCTAAACCACTCTGTTAGCTGTGCACTTGATTTTTTGGCATGCTAGTCTATACCATGGCTGGGGAACTTCATTCCCAGATCTGTCTTACAGTTGTCTTTCTCTGCATCCATGCTCAATGGCCAAGTGCTACTAAGGAAAAGTCAGCTTTACCTGGACTCGCAATGCCACATGAGAGGCCTTAGTCCTATCCTTAGTTCACCAATTCTCCCCATTCCTCTTATGATTGTTTCAAAAGGTCACCAGTTCTTTCAATACCCTTAACCTAATGCCATACACCATCCCCCTCCAGCCCCCAGGAGACAACCCACCTCTGTTTTATCAATAAAATGAAGTCATGGAGTTGTGAGATAGATCCCTAATTCCTGCCCCACCCTATGTCTTTATGTCTCCTGCTAGTCCCCCCACTTCCTTCCTGATGCAAGATGCAATGCCTTCTATGTGCTCATATCCAGTCCTTCCCCCAGTGTTTGGGACTCTAACACATTTAACCACTTTAGGAACTTGGTTCTGATTATCTCCTTTTATTACTATTTTTCTTTCTTATCCCAGGATTTCTCCCAGCCTATAAATATGGTTAAGTCTTTCTTATTCAAATCAAACCTTCTCTTAGGGTGCTGGGGTGGCTCAGTCAGTTAAGCGTCTGCCTTTGGCTCAGGTCATGATCCCAGGGTCCTGGGATCAAGTCCTGCATCAGGCTCCCTGCTCAGCAGGGAGTCTGCTTCTCCCTCTCCTATACCCCTCCTCCCTGCTTGTGTTCTCTCTCTCTCATGCTCTCTCTCTCAAATAAATAAAGTATTAAAAAAAAACAACAACCCTTCTCTTGACTCTAGCTCTTGGGTAGTCCCTAATCTCTATCCTTTTCTTTGAAATCAACCATTTGAAAGAATAATCTGTATTTTCTCAGGACTTCTGACCTCTCTACTCTACCAAGATCCTCTCCTCTCTCCAAGGTCACCAGTGACCTCTCAATTACCTAATCCAGTCAGTGCTCTTCCAGCCTTATGCTAGTAGACCTCTCTGCTTCATTTCTCATTGTTGACCATGTAACTCTTTGTTCTAAAATACTATTTCAGCTTCTAAAATATTATTCTGTTTGCCATATCTTAGTCTGCCTGTGTATTTGTCATCGTCTGCACAATCCTAAAACCCTGGTATCCTCAAGTTTTCTGTCTTTGCTCTTTGCTCTTCTCTCATTACTTCATTGGCTCCTAACCCCACTTATGTTTTTACCTATCTTTATACACTAATTACTCTCAAATCTTTTTTCCCATCTCTGAGTAGCTTTCTCTTTTCTCTCTTAAGTTTCTACCCTATCCTTTCTATCACTGGGCCTGTCCATTGTTCCTGGACTATTGCAGTGGGCATATTATGGTTATGCTTCACATCCTGCCCTTCTGAATTTTTCCCCCT